GAAGTAAGCGGGAGTGCCCCTTGGAGGGCATCAGAGCAATCAAGGAGGCTGCAAAAGCAGATGCCTGCACTTGATGCTGGGTTGTGGGGTTGACTACAAAAGTTTGTCATTTTCCAGGGGGCGGTGCTGAGTTGTTTTTTATTTTTGCCTTGTTTTGTTTTTCAGGAAAAGGGGTGGTGCCAGCCAAAAGAGTTTATTCTGGCTCATACCACCCCCACAGGACAGGACAGAACTGCGCTTGTGGGTTTCTGAGCCTGGGTTTCATGGAATAGGAAGTCTCGTCTTTCTCCCATAGAGCAGCTGGTGGTGTCGAACTGCTGACGGTTCCAGCTGATGACGACCCCTGTGCATACAGAGCAGAACTGTGCTCCACAGGGGTCTGAGCTTTCAGAAGAGGACCACCGGGCCTGTGTCCTGAGGTGCCCCTGGTGCCTGAGCATCTAACCTTCTGTGCCCCAAGGGACTCAGAGCCACATGGATGCACAGATATGTTATAGAGAGGCCTGGGAGTGCAGTTCAAACCCACCAACTGCTCCCAGGGAGAAAGATAAGCCTGTCTGCTCTGTAAAGACTGACAGCCTCAAGGGTAGATATGACTCAGAATTGACTCGAGGGTGTGGGTTTTATGTACAGAAGATAGGGAAGCATACCTATGCAAAGTATGGAGCACTAGGCAGTTCCCACCACTAGTCTATCCATGGGAGGAAGAGATTCCTGTAAAGCATTACAGTCTCGGGAAACCCCTAGGGGCAGCTCTACCCTGTCCCATAGGGTCCCTATGAGTCAGAATCTACTCGATGGCAGTGAGTGGTGAGTATGCATTCTGGCTGCATGAAAGATAGACGGGAAAACGCACAGAGAGGCAAGCACGCAGGTGACTGCATGATGAGCAGGCTCGCAGGAAGCATTGGTCTCCTTTACGATGTTCTAAAAGCAGCTCTGTGAAGAATCCTGTGCCCTTTTCGTGTGCGGGGGTGTGTGTGTTTGTGTGTGTGTATGCTTTACAACGCTGACAAATAATCCTGTTTCCAATTCTACCCGGGACTTCGTTTCACCAGAAAGTGGAATTAGGAGAGACCAGTGTTTCTGCTCCGGGACCCCAACCAGCAGACCTGTCCCCCTGGAGACAGCAGGGGGCCTCTAGAGGAGCAGGGCAGCAAAGACACGACTCGGCCAGTAGGGGTCGCCATGCTGTGAGTGAGTTCCGACGAGTTTCTCATTAGTGATTATTATACTGCAGGCGGCCAGAATGGAAAAATTAATTAATTTCCAAGTGATAATGCATTTACAGCAACAATTAGAAATATATAACTGTAAAAGGGCAACATTTAAAAGACAGATTACATTTAATAAAGTTGCACAAGAACATCCAATTGTAAAATTACTGATCTGCTACAATATCCCTTAAAGAGGCACTTAAAATAGCCGACTCCATGAAGGGTGACCTAATTACTGTAACTAAAATCACCGTAGTCACAGCAAGTCACCGCAAATAAAAAAGGGACATTGATATTAGAACACTGCTGTTTAATGTTTAAGGGAGCGGGCTGCAGGGGAGAGCCTGAGGCAGGGCCCCCAAGCCTGCGGCTGGTCCTGACTTCTCCTTGCCCGACCTCTCAGACAAAGGAGCATGGACTCCAGCCACACCTTCTCCAAGAGGGAATTCATAGGGGTTGTGAAGCTCCCACAGAGCACGTTCCATCTGAATGGGGGTGCTGTGCCTAGGCTCGGCTCCCTCCTCAGCATTTCAGAATCTCACTCTGTACATCCGGAAGTATGGGGGCTTTAAAATGACAGCCATGCACCTGCCCATCCTTCATCACGATGAAAGGAATGGCAGGCACGTACAGGGGTTGTGGGGTGAGGGTGATTTTTTCTACTAAGTCTGATCTGTGCTACCAGTGAAAACTGACCGGCCCCAAGTCTGTAGACAGGCGGGTCCCCAGGCTGCCCATATCCCCCAGAGCACACAGCCCTAAATGTTTATGGAGCAGTGACTGTGAGTTTGACAAGTTGTTCCAAAGCCACCCCCTCTGACTCATTATAAACTGGGCCATCTGGGACTCAGATGGCTACGGAATACCACACCAAACACTTCAATCTACAAAGACATTACAAGAGAGAACGTGGGCCAAAAAAGAAAACCTAAACTTAGCTACGTAGTTCATGGTCTTCCTAATTTATATGCCTATCTAAAAAAAGGTCAGGTTTGTGGAATCTAGAAAGTGCTGTTTTCCAGTCACTTGGGGACAGGAACGTGGGGAGTCCCAACCACCATAGCTTCCTTGGGACCCACAAGGGAGCGAGGCTGGCTCCTGCCACCTGGGCGCCCTTCCAACCTTGTCAGAAACCCTCTCTTTGAATCTCTGAGCCCTCCCCTATGAGGAGAACACTTCTCCCGAGGGCCTCCCACCTCCAGCTCCTCTTATTCGAAATCTTCAACTTGTGGACCATGACTGTTTGACTTCGCTGTAAACCCCCTGGCACGGTGAGCATGAGAGATGCGCTTACTTACTGTCATCTAGGCAATTCAAAAGATGGCTAGTGTACTTTTAAAAGCTACCCACACAGAACAGAACACTGCCCAGCGTCCTAGTCCTATCCCCATGCCCCCAATCACGGCAACGTCTGATCACGTGGTTATAGCCAAAAAGCCCACCTATCCCACTGCGGGTCTGTCCTTACTGACGTCCTATACCACTGAGAACAGGGTCTTTCAACAGGGGCTGGGCCTCCTGAGCACACGCCCACCTGGCTCCTAACGAGCATTCTGCCTGGACTTCTTCTGAGACAAAGTTGTTTGCTCTTGCCGCAGTCCATGATATATGGAATATTCCTCGTCACGACACCAGTGCTGAAGTACACGGACCCACTGTGATCTCTGTTGCTCACTGTCCAGCTGTCTCACAAACATGAGGCGATCAGAATGTCAGAGCTCACAACCAAACACCTTGAGAGAATGAGTCATTAGGAGCTCAGGACCAGAGTTTCAAGGAACAACGAGGTCTACTGGTTGAACATAAATCCAAAACGACAATATTCTACCTCCTACTTTGGTGAGTAGCTCCTGGGATAGCCACCTAAGGAGCTTGGTTGCTCCTTGTTCAGCACCAGGAAGAGTAGGGCATGGGGAGGGGGGCATCAGACAGAAGGAAACCATTAGTTCAAAGGGCTAATGGACCATGCGACCCTCACAGCCACAATGGGGACCAGAACTAGATGGTGCCCCATTACAGTGCCAACCACTCTGCAAAGGATCCCAGGGTGGGGTCCTGGATAGAGTAGGGGGAAAAAACTCAAAATATCAATAGAGAAAAGCAGGCTTGCTAGTCTGATAAGACTGATGGAAGGCCCAAGACGATGGCCCTTAGACAGCCTTCCAGCCTGGGTCTGAACTCACCCCCATGGCTCAAGTTTCAGGCAAACTACAAAGAGGCCACTGAGGCCAGCAACAACAGCAGGACGGCGAACACTGCACAGACTCTCCAGAAGACCAGCTCAAAAGGCAGCCTTTCCCAGGGATACACTGAAAGTCAGGAAGGGAAAGGAAAGGAGGGCGAGGGGAAATGGGGAACACAGGGATGACGTGGAAGTACACTCCATTGTGGGCCTGGCAGTCCATGTCACAAATCAAACGGTGGATGACTTGCTGAATGGAAAACCAATTTACTCTGTAGACGTTCACCTAAACCACAATAAAAAGCTAATAAATAAATAAGCTAGAAAGAGCTCAGAGGAAAGCGATGCTACTTCTGGCAAAGAAAAGACCCTGGCTTGAGTCAGGCGCACCTTAGACCTCGAAGCACTGTCTGGAAAGAGGTCCAGTGCGGCCGATTTCCATAACTCGTGACTCCTGTTACACACTCCAATGACTTCCTGCTGAGATGATTTCATGGAAGGGGGTTCTCCACCTGTTTGTTCAGGGACCATCTGAAAGGTGACAGCCTGCATCGCCACACTTGCAAACCCTCCAGAGCTCGGACCCAGGCAAAAGGATTCATGCCCAGCACAAAACCTGCCGTGGGCCAACCCTGGACTCTCTAGGTTGACACCCATGGAAAGCAGAATCTTCGAACATCAAATACCGATTCTCAGCAAAAGCAAAGGGATGACATTGGCTGATAATTCAAACCCCACAAACCCACGCTTTCCCCAAACCCCGTTTCCAAAGCACAGGTTTCCCCCATTTAGCAGAAGTCAGGCGTAGGCCACTTTTCATTGATGAGAGATCTACATGGGTCACTATTTCTGATACTCAAAATCCAAGGGGGATTCTCGCTTTTACCCCCAAATGGTAAACTAGCATGTAGAGCTCGTTTTTGTGTTTTTGAAAGAACCCTTCAAAGAGGCCGCACATACCTAGAGCAGAAGAGAAGGAACCAACCTCTCCTGGGTTGGGTGGGTCGGGGGCACGCCCAGTATCTCACTGTCAAGCCCCCCGACCTCTGGACTGTGTGCTTCTGAGATCAATGGTGTGATCGTATCCGTCATAAAGCTTTTGTAGGTTATTTGGGTGGGGGGGGTCTAGGAAAACCCACACGCTTTTCCCATACAAACAAGAATGGTCACCATTTCATCGCTTTCTGTAATTTTAATCTGGCTCTCCAACCATTTCAGAAGCAAGCTCTACTTTCCAATAGCAGAGGGCACTTGCTCAATGCTCAACCAAACAGGTTTTCAATGGTTCCAAATTGCACCAAACCAGCCACCATCACCACGTCGCAAAAAACCAGATCCCTCGCCCAACAAGACTGTAGCCAGCTTTGACACTGTGTCAGAAAACAGTATCTCCCTAGCCCTCCGGACCCCTTCAGAGAAAGGGGTGTCTCTCACACCACGGCGAGTGCTCTCCACAGCCCCTGGGAACAGCGCAGGTGTGCCTGTCCACACCATCACTATGACAAGGCGCAGCAGATAGGAGGAGAACACGTGTCCTCTGGGCCTCCCTGCGACCCCTTCCGAGCAGCACGGCGAGCCAGCCAGGGAAGCTGGCCACTTACCATGGACTTGGTGAAGGGCCGCGCCAGGGTGAAGAGCAGTGTGTACACCCACCAGCTGCGATGGATCGAGGAGTACATCATGTTCCCAGGGTGCAGGGCGTTGGACGTGACGCCGCGTGGGGACAGGCGACGGTGCAGCTCGTTGGAGAAAAGGATGTTGCAGAGTTTGGACCGGTTGTAAGCCAGCATGGCCCAGTAGTCACTTTGGGATGGAGAGAGGCGGCTGAAGTCGAGATTGCCAGAGGAATCGTTGATATCCGTAAATCTGAAGGACAAGACAGGTGCGTGTGACAAGAGGCCACCCAGCTATGGCTTTTGGTGGAAGTGCTTTGATTTTGTGAGAACTGGGGAAGACTACAAGGAGACAGGGAAGGACACGGTGCATGTAGGGAAACCTTAGTGCATGAGCTTCTCGCTTAAAAACAGACCATGGTGATTAAGCAGTATGCACCTATCGGATCCAAGATAGATGTTATCAGGCCTTAACTGACCCATGAAGCCATCTTAACATGCTAAGTTTCTCTCTCTCTCTCTCTCTCTC